AAACTATCATAACGATAAAACTGATGATAACTTCGTTAACAAATTTAAAAACTCTTTCTCACTCTTTACAATACCCAAAAACTTAGAAAAAACAAAAATTTTATTTTTCAAAAAAAACTTATTTTTTTATTAATACTTATATCATACAATATGTCCCTTGATATTTTTAAAAACCTTTTTACTAAAGAAGTCTTAAACTTTCAAAAACTGAAAAACTACATTATGCCTGAACTTGAAAAAAGTAACTTTGCCATTGCGGAATTTCTCTCTTATGAAACACTAGAAGTTTTCTAGCTTATTAGGAAACTAAATGAAGAATATCTTAAAGCTTTTCAGCAGAACATGCTGCTCAAGAAATATTTCTTAATAATAATTTTATAGATAACCTCGCAAGATCTTGTGCATATAACATTTATGAAACTGGAACGAGCGATCATGAAACACATAAAACAGAAAATATAATTTCAAATATAATTGAAACTGCTTTTCCTACTAAAGAAATGATGATATTATTTCAACTATTGACGAAGAGGAACTAAACTCACAAATGAACACACTCAATGATGATGACATGCTTATAGATATAAATAACACATAATATAATAATCTCCCTTCATCTTTATTGCCTTCTAACACACAACAACCTTCTTCCACATATCAAAATAACCCATCATCAAATAATCATAACAAAATGAATAATAAACAGACTTACGCGTTAGTTATATAACAAATCAAATATAATAATATTTTAGACGTGCCTGTAGATTGTAATTATAGTAATAATAATATTAACGCGTTATTACACAATCTAATCAATAACAACAAACATAATCAAAAGTTATACAAAGATGATCTCTGTCACAACTTGAAAAACTCTTCTCACGTGATTCAACCCAACAAAAAAGGAAATGTTTTCATATCACTCTTAGCTTTTGCTATACCAGATGACACTAGGATAGACAAATTAAATTTCTTATCTTTCTTTTTTCTCATAAACCTAGTTTCATAAATATAGACTGAAAATTCTATAACGGTAATGCTAATATCTTTATAGAATTTAATAATAGAAAATTATTATTAGACGTCATAGATGATGCCTTACTAAGTTATCTAGAATTTTTCTTTAATTTAATCAATAAGGATTCTACTTCAAATCTTCATCACAATAATCCTACTTATAAACTAAAAGCAGTTCCTAATATGATTACACAAAAACATATCAATAGAGCTCTTTCCTATTTTGGATCAATTACTTTCATTTTAGATTAATATAGAAATTGATATTCCTCATTACGTGACGTTATTATCACATTCGAAAAAATTAGAAAACTACATCAATTAAACACAGCTTGAGCACATAACATAAATAGACACATTATTAGATGTGCACATATTGATACTCTAATAGAAGAACTTAAAGATAAAAACTATTACATAACTAGATTTAAAGGCTTCATGAACAAAACAACACCTTCTGATGCCTTCCGTACCTTAAGAGCCTTTAATGCTAGATCATGTTATTTTCATAATAATATTACCTATGTTGCATTTGCATCTAAAAAAAATATAAATTTTGCCTGTTCGCAAAGAATTATACACAATGGATATAAACTAGATGGAAGACCTAGAGTTCTTAATCGTTCTTATACTCAAGCTGAATTAGTCCGTTCATCAGATAACATCCCTTCTAGGTCTCTCTTTAATAATTATCAAAGAAACCGATGCCCTCATTTAACAGCAATTTAAATAAAGGGAAAGGCAAGGACGTTGATTACACACTTCCTACTATATCACATACTAAAATTTCCAGCAATAGTAAATCTAATCTATTGGACTTAATTTTATCAAAACTCCAGAAATTAGACTCAATTAAATTACACTTGACAAAACTAGACTCTCAGATCCTTGCCTTTACCAATCATGATGGGCCTATGGCTCATCGATTATAATATATCCCACATCAGGCGATTTACAACTAAAGAATATTCTTACTGATAACTGAAATATTCCTGATATTAATACAAACATTACCTCTTTCTTAAATAATCAAGTATCTTAATTTTACGACAATAGACAAAACAATATACATAAAATAAATAAAGATATTACACACCTAGATAATGATACATGTGATAACATAATTAAAGGAGATACAATCACATTTGCAATACATAATATACGAGAAATTAATAATACTACTGATCCTATTAAATCTTTACAAATAATAGAATACTTCATGCATAGTAATATAGATTTTGTCAGTCTTATAGAAACTCATTATAATTTGTCAATGCTTCACAAACATAAACAGAACTAACATTATACAACTTTTTGAAACCAACCTGATCTACTATAACCTTTCGCAAGTGTTGTCCTGCTAGTTTCAAAAAAATAGGACAAATACATTGCTTCTTCATTTACATCAAATCTATGCATATTCTATGTAGATTTATTTTTAAAAGGACATGTTAAACTTAGAATAATTAGCTGCTATATTCATGCTAATATGTCAGATCCCAAATGTAGACATAATCGTAAACTCCTACAAAAACAAATTCTTAAGATATAACCTGCATTAAAACCATCAATTGGCTAGAACTATTCATTTCAATTATTTATACTAACTATAGTTCTAAGCTTTGTCTTTTGATCTTTTATTAAAAAAAGTTGAGTTTACTTACTTAACACGTCAATTTAGCTTTTATAATACTTACCAAATTCATGTTCAGGTATCAACTATGAAATTTGAGCTCCTGCTATATTTTGTATTGCTTTTCTCTTCATCAGAAATATTTATTTCAAATCTTACATGATGTTCTATGGCTAGATAGTAAAGATGGAGGAATGATAATGAAAATGATAAAATTAGAGGTAGAATAATGGTAAAATGATTGCAAATGATGTTGGTAAAATGGAGGCAAAATGATGAATAATAGTGAAATGTAGGTGAAATGATGAATGATGGTGAAATAGAGGCAGAATAATAAATGATAGTGAAATGGAGGTGAAATAATAAATAATGGTAAAATGGAAGTAAAATGATAAATAATGGCAAAATGGAGGCGAAATTATGGTAAAATGAAAAAAGTAATAGATAAAGAAGTAAAATTAGTAATTTCTGATTTTAAATTTTTTCAACCTATTTTTTTCTGATTTTACTAATTTTCTCTTTTATTTGACTTTTTTTTCATTTTATATATTCACAGTATTACAGTTTTTAAAATTTATATTACCTGAGCGTGGTGGAAATCTATAAAAGTTTTAACTTCTCCAGCCTCTAAAAAGATCCACCTCTTTACTTCTACATTATACCAATCATGCCAGTAAGAAAGTATAATCATCAATTGCGTATTATAATAATGTAGATTATTATCAGAAATTATGGTTATTTATTTAGATCATGGTTCAAAATTTTTTATTACAACATGAAGGGAGAAGACGGTAAACTAAGTATCCTGCTTGGTATTATCTGACTAATGATTAAATATTTCAATATTCATATTTTGTTTATTTTTATTTTTTCAGTAAATTAGAATTGAATGTAAGATCCACCCACATTTTTTAAAAAATTCTGATTTTGTTTCACAGGCAGTCTGAGGAAAAATTCTCATTTTATAATCAATAATAAGAATTGCACCTTCATTATCCAATGCTTGAAGTTTAATATTAAACTGAAAATTTAAATAAAATTTCCTCATAAGGTGAGATAACCAGAATATTAATTGCTTTAGTTTAAAATTCAACAACTCATGATATTCAACTGACAATTTATTTTTTAAAAATTCAAAAAGGGCAAATAAATTTTCACATTGTGAATACATACTAATTTATAATTCTAAGCATATCTTAAATACGTAAACTAAATAATGATATATATAAGAATGATGCTTTTGTTTTTCAGTAATATTAATTTTTAACTTTCTTTCATAAATCATTTTTTTTTTAATTAGATTTTCTATATAAGATAAATAATATTGAGGTATGTAATATTTACCTGCAATTGTGTATTTGAAATATTTTCTTCAATTAATTTTTCAAACTCAGAAAATACCTCATAAAAATTTTCATTACATACTGAGCACAATCCTTCTAAATTTTTTTTATAGACTAATCTGTCACCTTCTAGTCATATTATGAAGGATGTACATCCCATACTATTAAGATATAGTTCAGTAAACTTTTTCCATAAGGATTTTTTATTATTCTGCAGATATAAAACAGATAATTCACTTTTATTATCAGTCTTATAAGATAACATGTTTACATTATTTTTATCTGAAAAAAAAGAGTCAAACTGATCTAGATTTTCCTGTAATAATCACATATGATGAGTGACAGGTTTTAAGAGTAGAAGACAATTATAACTACACAATCGTGTATGTCATTTTGCTTTAATTATTGTATGATGTTTAATCTAATGATATAATAGATTACACAAAAATCAAAAAAAATCTTTTTTAAAAAAAGAAACATGATATATTATAATTTTTGTATTTTAGCTATTGTAGTAAATAAATAAAAGATTTTTTACTTATAACTTTATTTATTATCAAAAAATAAACCAAAATAATATTTTCTAATATATAAGAAATCTATACAAATAAATGTTTTTATTTTTTGTGAATAAGTAAAATAAATAAAATAGTTATTTAAACCTAATTTGATAAATGAATTTATTACAAATAAAATTGACTAAATAAAAAATATACCTTTTTTGATTATTAGTAATTAATAATTATTGAAATAGATACTAAATCTGAATTTGAAACAAGTACTTTCAGATTTCTTTCAAGTTGAGAATATGTAAATTAATCGGCAATTATATATAGAAGTTTGCATTTGCCATCATAATTTTTTTTATTTTTAATCATAGCATGATTAAAACTCTCCTAAAATTTCTTTGTTGAATTCAGCTTATAAATAAAAACTGATACAAGAAACCCCATTTTGTAAAGATTTGTAATTGTATCCTGATCTTTATTAGGATTAAAAGCTCATGTTCAAAATTGATACTTTTCAAAATAAAGATAATATACAAGATATATAATAATATTTTATAAATCAAATATAAAAAAAAACTTATAAAAACCTTTGATTCAGCAGAATCAAAAGGAGTAATCAAATGTATACCAGCTGCTCTTAATAAAGCATTCCATATACGCAATTCCCTATCACCAAATTTATGATACTTTGGATAAATCATTTTTAGATTTAAGTAAAGTTTAAATATATCACTATCTTATTTCTCTTATAAATCAAAAATTGTATACCAATTCACCCTTGTAATAGTTTGTCTTTTTAGATAATACTCAAATAATTTTGTCATTAACATTTTATTATTTCAATTTTCAGGTATACATGTAGGAATATGAATTTCGCACAATAAATTTTGTGTTTTATGATCTTTGAGACCATAAAGTTCATCTCCGTCATGCTTTTCTATCAAACCTGATTTGTGTCAGATTTTACTTATACAACTATGAATTATTTTAATTTTTTGTGTGTATTGATAAATTTTAAGAATGCATTTATTATCAATTATTTTTGATATGAATAATGATTGTTTTGATTTATAAAAATGAAGGAGAGAAGATGAATAACCTGAACCAGTATTATGCAATTTAGAATGAAATGATACAAGCCTCAAGTCATATACAAAAATTTTGTATTTATCAACAGTAATTTGAAATGAAACAAATCTAACATCCTGAATAATTCTTCTAATATTTTTGAATCATCTTGGCCTATTATTGTTAGTCCTGAAAATTTAGTTGAATTATGAAAAATTTTTTTATATAGGATGCTAATAGCTTTTGTAGGAAATGATTTTATTTGGCCAGAAAATGAATCTGAACTACAAAAATATCCAAGTTACATTAATTGTTCTGAATTTCTAAGAACTAACAAAACTATAAACTTCTGATTATTGTGAAAAATGCGTGTTTTTTAGCCTAAGAAAATAGGAAAAAATACATTTTCAATATCATTATTTGTAGATTGAGAACTTCACCAATAATGAGCATATAGCCTATAGTGTAAATTTTTACTAATAATGCCTAGTATTAACAGAGTAACTGGAGTTTTAAGTTGTTTTGTCATTGTTTTTTGCAAAAGAGATAGTATATATGACAGATTCTGAACTTATTTTTTTTATTATTATTATTGATCCCAAATTTAATAATCATTGTATTAATAATTAGTGCTAATCATAACTAGACCAGCACTTAAAACTTTAAATATTTTTGTACTAATAACTTCTTCTAAGTATAGATATGAAAAATAGTTACAAGATAAAAGAGCTTTATAAAATTTAAAGTTAGATATTAACCATGTTATTATAATGCTAAGGTATTTTTATCAGGATTTTGCAGTCTATAAATCAATAGTTAAGTAAATAAAGATAATTATTTAAAAGTAAGTGAAATTAATTCTTACTTTATATAAAAGATTCATAAATTATTTTTTTACTATTTTATTATATAGTATTCTAAATTCAGGTTCACAAGTAAAAAGTAATTCATGAAAAGAAGAATTTTGTAAAATATATAATAGTTAAAGAAGCTTTATAATAAAGTAATAAGCTTTTGTGTAATAAGTTCTTTATGTTTTTCTGAATATGAAGCTACTACTTATAATATTTTGTGATTTATTTTTAATTACATTAAGACTATTAATAAAAAAATACATATCCACTGATCTACAGAATGGAGAAAATTTAGGGGGTGTAGTATAAATAAAGTCACATGAAATTTGACCAATAAAAATAAGTACGTTTTATGTATTCATTTTTGAAATGAATTTTTTAAGTTTTAACATTTAATGCAAAAAGTATGGATAGTGACACAGAAAACGTAGAGTATGGTGTTCAAATTCAAGAAACTTCCACATATCCTTTGAATAATAATATTTTATATCGGGAACACGTAAATCAAAAAACCAAACGTAGTTTTAGTTATGTTATTATAAAAGAGGGTATTTATCCTGACAAGATTGTTACTAGGCCAAGTAATAAACAAAAAGAACGAACCGAAACTTTGCAAGATACTAGCAATATTAGAAGGAAAAGGCAAAGTAAACAGTACAAAATTCCACATGGTTATGTTGTAGAAACAACTTGAGGACGGGCTGCTAGCAAACAAACAGTTTGCTGTGAAATTGATTATATTGACGAAATATTTCAGTTTTGTATTAAATATAGTCCAAACTTTCAGTATATTATTTCTTCAACTAAATCTCCGTCTAATGCAGCATTAATTTATGAAAAAATAAGTATTTAAAGCTAATGCTGTAATGTTGTATTAACCATAATTGTTTAATTTATTAATGTATTTTTTTTCTCTTAGACTTTAAAACTAAGAACCAAAACTACACTTTCAGGTTCTCTTGTATTTGGGTTACAATTAGAAAGTGTGTAGAAAGCACGTGAATCGAAAAGAAGAGGAAATTTAATCAAACTAACTGATAATTGTATTTTGTCAACACTTGAAAACACATTAAAAAATTGCAACAAAAATGTAATCCAGTTTTAGTAGTAATATTAAAGGAATTTATCACCAATCTGATGAAGTTAAATTAAAAGCAATTGAATTTTCTGTTATTAAAACAGACTTTCAAGTGAATTTCAGATATGAAGATCAAATAAAAAAATTTTCAAATTCAATCTATAGTAAAAGCAGTTGATTAAGAGCAAATATCAAGAGATTTTTATCGAGAATTAGCTGCTGTAGAATACCATTTATCACGTGAAAATTCTGTTTCTAATGAACGAATTGCAATCACTAACCATATGAATAATATAATCAAAATTTCATTAGTTGAT